GTATCATTATTATTAATTTTAATAAATATACGTATTTTTACTACTAGTGTTTATAATTATTATCAATGTTAATTGTATCATGATTTTTTACTGGGAGGAGGGGGGATATAAATTCAACAACTTTGGATTGCACACAAACGGGCGTAAAGAATGATACCATCGTTGTTAATAGTATGCCTATATTCTAACATCAAAATTCGCGATGATACCATATTATGGAAAATAAAATAATATATTTTTTCATGTGAATATCAGATTAATATTGTAATGCCATTTGTTTATTCCACTGTGTATAATAATATTATTTGGGTAGGTGCCATAACATTATATGCATATACTTTACATGATAAGATCGGTTTACAATTTAAAACTAAAAATGTTCAATTGGGCTTGATAAAAAAAATTAATAATAATAATAATTAATAAACAAATAAAAAGTCTATTATGTTGAAACGTCCCGTTTAAGATCTATTATAAAAAACGTTTATATAATATTATTATGTTGTTTGGTATTATAATATTWTGTGTGTAGGTATGTTTTTGTAAAATAATCGGCGCGAGTCGACGGATTCTCCTCGCCACACACACTGCGGCGACACGCCACCCCATATGAATATGCGAATAATAATAAATAATTGTACTGGCACAACAAAAAGATTAAAAATCTACTAAAACGTTTTCCTATTTCTTTTGTGTCAAACGTCCCAATTGTTTTAGTCAAGAATTGTTGTATATATATAGATACCAATCCAATATATATATATATATTTTTACTGGTATATATATAGATACCAATCCAATATATATATATATATTTTTACTGGTATATATAAATTGCTCTCTTAACTCTTTTTTATTATTCACTTTTTATTATTATTATTTTAAAACGACCCTCTTAATTACACGAAAAACGCTGCTCGAGCACTCAATAGAACGCCCGGTCCATCACAAAAGACGATTGAAAACGGACCCCTTTTCTCTTTTCTGCACAAAAAATAAAATAAAATAAAACGAACGAGCTATTTCGCTGCCTGTCTGTCCGATTGATATCCAGTTTCCTCCTGTATACAAACAAACAAACACACACACACGTCCACACATATTATATTATATACTTATTTAAAATATTACCCCGTCACACCGATTTTGTTAATTACAATCGACCGGCACTGCTGCAGAACCGGCCACCGATTTAGATGTTTTTATTTGTTTAAAACCTGTGTATAGTACACGGAGCGGGACCGTATTTTCATTATAT